ATAATAATAATAATAATAATAATAATAATAATAATAATAATAATAATAATAATAATAATAATAATAATATAGGAAATATTCTAAATGCTCTGATGGTCATTTCGAAAAATCCTTTCTTAGTGAGCCCCTAGAAGCCAAGAGGAACGTACGTGCCAAATTTCAAATTTGTAGGCTTTACGGTTCTGGAGATTTTGTGATGATGCGTGCATGGTCTTTCACTTTTATATATATATATATATATAAATGTGTGTGTGTGGATGTGTGTGTGTGTGTGGAATTGGGAAGCTCTGCTGAAGAACCTGCCAATACTGTGGAAAGGCAGCAATTCCTTGGTCCCCTTGTTATGTTTCTATTTCAGGGAGGAAGGTAAGACCTGAACACCCAAGGAAATTAGTCAATCTTGGGTGCTAAGTAAGAAATCCCTTTTTTTTTTTCCTTTCTTTTTCTTTTGGGTTGTCCCAAAAGGTAAGCCCTGATCTGTGCTCCACGACCGCCTTGCCCTGCACGAATCAGGGTTTCTCCAAACATATGGCTTGGTGGCAGCAACAGCTGTTTATTAGCAGGCACACACACACACTCACACACACACCCTCTATTCTGGTTCCTCTCTCCCCCCCACTCCCCAGAAGAAATGAAAAAGCTTTGGCTGCCCAGGAGAAACTCCCCGAGTTATGCCTTGTCAGCAGCCCCATCTGAACGCCACAGATCAAGGCTGACAATTTGTACGTCTAATCGGGTTGAGGTGGGCGGGCTGCCAAGATGATCTCCACACCGAGCAAAACACAGTGCTTGAGACTGCAATTACCAATGCAAGGAGAAGGAAAACTGCAAGACCTCTTCAGGCCGCTTAAGAGATTAACAGATGAACCGAGTTCGAAGGGACCCTATAGATCATCTAGTCCAACTCCCCCCACCCAATGTATGGTAACCCCCCCACACACAAAAAAAGCGAAGGAGGAAGGAGAAAAGGGAAGGAGAGAAGGAAGGGAAGGAAGGAAGTAACAACAACAGCCCTTAGACTTCTATACCGCTTCACAGTGCTTTCCAGCCCTCTCTAAGCGCTTTACAGAGTCAGCCTCTTGCCCCCAACAATCTGGGTCTTTATTTGACCGAATTCGGAAGGACAGAAGGCTGAATCAACCTTGACCCGGTCAGGATCAAACTGCTGGCACTTGGCAGTCCGCAATACTGCATTCTAATCCCCAGCCCCAAGTGTTTTGGCTCAGAAATTGCAGCTTTCCTTCCTCTGATTTAAGCTTGTGGGAAAAGTAACTGCGTTCCTGCACTGTGTTTCGAACCCTGTTTGATCCGTTTATCCAGATCGGTCAACCAGAATCCTGGGGGTAAATGCATTTCAAATCATTCAAAGAGACTCCATCTTGTGGGGGTCCTTGGTGCTCTCTGAGATGGATTGTTTTCTTGCAGACATTTCACGACCCAACTAGGTAACATCATCAGTGCTAGAAGGGAGTGAGGTTTGCTTCTAGCACTGATGATGTTACCGACTGGGATAATGTAAGTCTGCAAGAAAACCACCAAGGTCAGAGAGCACCAAGGACCCACTGTCTTCCCCCCCTCCTCCTCCTCCTTCTCCAACCCTTCTAGCACTGATGACGTTCCCTAGTTGGGTCATGAAACTACCAAGAAAACCACCAAGGTCAGGGAGCACCACGGACCCCTCTGTTCAGCCCTGAGCTCTCAAATATTCCCTTCTGTTGAGACTCCATCTTTAACGAACTCCCTCTCTAAACGAGGGTTGAAAAATCTCCTTAAATCTTCCAAAATTCCGTCTTTACCACCAAGACAGGCATTGCACGCCCTTCCCTGACTTCTGGCCGATTCTCACTTCCTTAAACCTTGCCACGGTTCAAGAGGTTGGTCTTGAATCCTGGACTCAAGGCACCCAGCAGCCACGCCTTTCTCTCCATCCTGGCCAACCGACTTGAACCCTGTTTTAATGTCTTCATTACTTAAAACACACACTAGGGTCTTATTCTGGACCCCAAATACTGAAGACACGAACAACAGAGAAGGTGTTTTTTTTTTGTAGGTCAGCTTCCCTTTCCCAGGCCTGGCCACTGTCCTTTGTAAATTAAGCACCGATGCTATGTACCTTCTCGACAGAGAAGCTCACTGCTTATTGTTTGTCTATTTTTATTCCCCAGTATATCAACCTACAGGTTTATTACTGTTTAGCTCGCTGACCTTTGAGCGCTTGGTGGTATTAGAGATATAGCATGGACTTCACCGGGTGCAACCATCTATCACTTCCCCCATAACAGGGGAGCTACTAATAACATTGGCAACGGCAAGGCCTCCATCTATCCATCTAGACGGTTATGCATCGGCTTAGAGTGGAAAACAAAAAGAATCCCAGGTTGAAAACAGGCTGCTAAGAGACTGATGATGCCCCCTTTTGAGGGATCTTTGGGGCTTTCAACCCCCACCGTTCCTTTCCCGCGGGGTCCTCGACATTCTCCGAACTGGGTGGTTTCCCTGCAGACGTTTTATTACCCAACGAGGCAACATCATCAGCGCTAGCAAGGCTGTTTATGTACGGTAGCTCTGAGCTTGGCTGTTTTCTTGCAGACCTTTCATTACCAAACGGGATAACGTCGTCAGTGCTGGAGAGTGTGATTTGCTCCCTATTTCTATTCAGTAGCTCACCCTGCAACCAGCACCCAGACCCTAAATTCAGAGAAGCAGGGATTAACGCCAGACAAACAAAGTAGGTAATATCGTCAGCGCTGGAAGGAAGTGGGGTTTGTTCCTTGTTTAGCGTGCTTTGTTACTGTTGGTGAAGGGGGTAGGTAGTTCCTTGATTAGGGTTATCGTTTTTTCTCCTGGATTGTTTGTCTGGTATCAATCCCTGCTTATCTGAATATTGGGTGCTGGTTGCTGGCTGCAGGGCAAGCCACTGAATAATAAACAGGGAGTAAGTCACCCGCATCTAAGTTCAGACAGTCTTCCTACCGCTACTATTCCTCTTCCTCCTCCACTCCACAAATCCCACTTCCTTCTAGTCCTGATGATGTGACCTAGTTGGGTAATGAAAGGTCTGCAAAGAAACAACCCTCCTCCTCCTCCTCCTCCCCCCTTCTAGCACTGATGCTTCCCAGTTTGCTAATGAACTATCTGCAAGAAAACCACCAGACCCCCTAGCTAGAAATATTATCTCCCGTCCACGTTCCTCGTCCGCTGGAGAAGGGCTCGCCTCGCCATTTCTTTCCGTATCGGTAAGATCCTGACAAACCAACGACAGGAGCTCAAACACGGTTTCTCCACGGACCCCGCCTTTGTTATAAACCCAGAGTTTCAGCCTCTCTTTCCGCGCATCCCAATTAGGCTGTCTTTCAATCCACCGCCACACACCTGCCTCCAGAGATAACGCCGAGCCTCCTGCCCTGGCAATTCCAGCATTCAGAGGCCAATAAAATAAATTGCAGGTCAAAACGTATGACAAAGCTTCCCCCTTCGAATGCAACCCCGTCCCCTTCACCGCAGGAAAGCCACGCCCCCCACTCCACTCTCCCCGATACCAAAACGCACCCTCAAATCCCACTCCAAACGGTCTGATTACAGGGGCCATTGGAGTTTAATAATCTGACTGTAATTCAGGCATTTTCAACAGCTCATTAAGGGTTCATTAATATATGGGCAAGCTCCTGAATTATAAGTAAGCAGATTAGAAACCCGCGGTGTCGGAATTGTACAGTTAGGTACGCCGGCTAACGGAATAATATCGCAGCTACAATGAAAGGGCTGCCCCAGAGAGTTCTAGGCGAGATAAAAGACAAAGACTTTTTCTCCAGCCTTATTTATTAATTCAGTCCCACGTTCACCTTGAAGAGAAGGTAATGCTGGGGTTTTGTTAACCGAGGCTTTTTAAAGTCCGATGTTTTCAAAACATGTCCATCACAAAGAAATACTGCGCCATAATATACAGAGGTTTAGGGGGTCCAACGGGTTAAAGGAGAGAATGGTGGGTCAGGAAGCAGCCAATGTCCCACCAGGCAACTTCCAAGATAATGCTGCTTCTGTGCAAGGGGTAAAAAAAAAATATCCAAAGTTTTCATCCCATTCCTGAGATTTAGCAAAGGGAAAAAAAGAATAACCGAATGCAGGAGAGAACCAACCTAGAAAATTTCCTGACAGTGAGAACAATTAGGAAGTTGTGGCTGCTCCATCACTGGAGGTTTTCAACGAGAGATTGAAGGGCCATTTGTCTGAAATGGGATAGAGAGGGTTTCTTGCCTGAGCAGGGAGGGGGGGTTGGTCTAGAAGACCT